AGCGAGAGAGGGGGGGAGAGGGAGAGAGAGAAAGGGTGTTGTATACAAAACAAGGACCTTCCTAGTAGTACATGAACGCGGCACGAAACACGCCCCTCTTCATCATCACTGGCACTCCCACAATGCAGCGGGGTAATGTATTAACATGGCGTCAATGCTTGCTGTTTTGACCAGGGCCGTGGGATTTGAAAACATTATGTAGACCAGAACCATGGAGATAGCTAAATAATAATTTCGAATCAACTTAAGAGTTCGAAAGTAAGTCAGTGCGTGCTCTGTTGTGTTGCAATGGTTTAAGCGTCTCCTTTGTGTTTTTTATGACTTGCTGCTGTGTAGTAAGTGAGTACCAGTATTATTTATTTCCCGTAGCTAGCTCAGGCGGACGACCGGGCATCGCAGCTAACCTCAGTAACATTACGGAGAGGGCTAACAACATACTCTGCAGAGCAAAGCAACCCCAGGAAGTAAGCGTGAAGCATTCCCATAACGTAAGACGGTACATTTAACCTTTAATGGTAAGCTTTTTAAGTTTATTCTATTTTAACGCATATTTTTTTTCTCTGCGTGATGGCATCTTCCTCCCTTATTTGTTGCTCGGAAGTTTAGCTAACTGTGTGTGTTAGCTTTCGGTGTTGTGTTTAAGTTTGTTTTTCTCCAAACTGAAACACACGGAAGCCCCAGTGAGTAGTAATGTCTGCAACCCCTAACCTGTGGTTTACTGTAAAACGAAATTAATCTCCAACTGCGATAGTGGAGGTGGATTTCCAGGAACAGACCTGGGGGGAAAGCAATCAGGGTGGTAAACTGTCTATTTGGCATTTGTGTTTGATCTAAAAACGCTAGTTTGATTACGTTGGAACTACGATGCTAACTTTTGTTTGATTAATTTCGGCATTTTATAGACAAATTGGTCTGTTGCTTTATGACGAATGAAAATGATCATTAGCAGCAGTGTGGATCTCTGTGCTAAACGATTTTTGTTTTAACTGAGAATATTACAAACGAGCTTTATAAATTGTACTGTATGTGCACATCTGTCATAGTTTTTGTTTAGTGTGCTCACAAGATATTTTAGTTTGATTTCATAAAAACCTATTGATGTGCTCACTTGGTAACTTGGCTCTGGGATTTTCTGTGTTCAGCGTGGACAATGCATAATAAAAATGATCTGTTTGAACTCTAAAGACAAAGTTAAAGTTGCTCTGTAACGCCCCCCGCTCATCTTTATTACTTTTAAACAATGATAAATCCTTTAAACAAAAGAGTAAAAGGTAAAGATCTGACCCAAAATTAACTCAACACTTCCTTATTTATTTGTAACTTGGTTATTCACCTTTTTAATGAGTCAAAGTCAACTCTTTTAAAAAATAAAGGGAAAAAATCTGTTATTAAATTATTTTTTTTAAATAAACAATAAACTAACAATTATGAACTAAAGATTTTTCTCTAAGTTACTCATTCAAAGTTTACATATGCATTCGGCTAGTCAGCTTCACCTGAATTGTTAAAACAATGCACAACACATTTCACTGCAGATACAATTTATTTTTTCTTCTTTTCCTAGACTTTGGGTGGCCTGCCTCCCTGGCCATCTTCAGTGTGGTGTTGACTCCACCAGGAATAAGAGCAGAAGAAACAAAGGGATGGATGAGTCCTTGACTCCAGTAAAGACAGTCAAACAGTCTCAGCTCAGAGGAGCTAAAGCTTTATCCACTGAGAAATCAAATAAAGAGACTCTTGTGCTGAGAGAGGGTCATAAGTCTGCAAGCCGCAGCAAAGAAAACAGCACGACTGCCAAGGATGAACATAATATAGGCAGCCAGGTTAGCCGTGGGCAAGGCAAGACTTCTACAGATACTCCCCAGGACAAGAGAAGAGGTCGGCCATCCAGATTGAGTAGGCTGACTGGAAGAACAGGTTCTGGGGAGAGAGGCAAAGGAAAAGGGGCAAGCTTACAGCAGCACCTGGTGCCACAGGCTTCTGAGTCCAGAACATCTCTTTCTGCAGACAGCAGCCCCTCAGCAAACAAAGAGAGCAGCTCTTCTGTAGTGCCTGTTACCCCTGACAAAGGGCTTACAGAGCAGGCTAGGAGCTCTACTAGAGCCCTGGCAAAAGAAAAATCCCAAGGTGGGTTGTAAAGCATTTTTCCTGAAATGAAGAAGTCTTCTTCATCAAATAGAGCTCCAGTAAAGTGCTTTGTGTTTGCTGTTTTTTTTAGTGTTGAAAGCCGCAACACTGATGAATCAGTCTGTGCAAGAGGGCCCAGAGGTGAGGCCCACTGTGGAGGAAGGACCTCTCACAGAGCAACAGCTGGGCCTCCGACAGGCAGAGGAGCGTCTCCGCAGAGACTACATCTACCGACTGCTGAAAGTGAGAAAACCACTCAGTATAACCTTTGTATACCAAATTTTAATAATATGTATGTAATAGGTCCAGAGTTGCTAAATTACTTGACAGTGCAATAATTTTTTTTAATTTGCATTTTTCCACATGTATAAAAATTTTAAAAAGCCACATCTTAATTAGAATGTGTTCATAACTTTATTTTTGAGATACATCGATTTTTATGATACACTTATTTTCATAAACAGCAGCACAAATGAAAATATCCAAATCGAATGGCTCTTCTGTAAATAAAGGGTTAACTAAAGCTTGAGGACATTTTGGCAGTAAGGTCTTGCCTTTACATTGGAATAAATCACGTGTTAAATCTCATTTTCATTTTTGGTGCTAACCTAAATGTGATCATTCTAATTAAACATTGAT